CAAAAGAGAAGAAAATAAAAGGAAAAAAGAAAACAAAATTAAACCACATGAGCAAATCCTCCACTGACGAGTTCCTTTCTCCTGAGCTGGCATTTCTCTGACAAATGTTGGATTATCTTATTCTTTACTTATTTATAGTGCTRGAGGGGTAGGATTGTCCCTCAAGAGGTGCCGCCAAGTTTTCGGGAAGAAATATCTGAGTTTCCCCAGCAGTGTCAGACATAACTCATTATTTGCAGACAGGTGACTTTTGTTTTCCACACTTGCAGCAGGATTTGAGAAGAAAACTCTTCAAAGTGGGTCAGTGTCTCACTCACTCACTGGGGGTCTATAAACACAACTCAGAGGTCTCTCTGCTCGCCAAAAATWTGTCTTAAAAGTGGTTCTGCCTCTCTAAAGGGAGAACTGGAGTTTTCTGGAGGAGTTTACAGAAACCTAGAATATTCTGAGTTGGAAGGGACACACAAGRATTATTGAGTCCAAYTTCTGSWCCTGCACAGGACACATCAAAAATCCCACCCTGTGCCTGAGAGTGTTGTCCAAACACTCCTTGAGCTCTGGAACCTTTGGGACCWTGACCACTTYCCTGRGGATCCCATTCCAGTGCCCAGCCACCCTCTGGGGGAAGAACCTGGAGTTGGTGCATTGTTCTCCCAGCCAATGCTCTTGGAACAGTTCCTGACTGAGGCCATCATGGACACATCACCCCCCGCACGGAAACAGGGAACATTCCTAACTTGGAATGACACCGATCCTGATGCTCCATGACATCGAAGAAGCTGGACGGGAGAGGGGACCAAGCGGGAGAGGTGGTGACCTCCACACCCCCTCAGCAGCCACCTTTGCTGTCTGCAGAAGCTTCAGAAGTGGTGTTGGATGGTCCCGTCCCTGGAAGTGTTCAAGCTGGACAAGGTTTGAAGCAACCTGGAATAGAGGAAGATGTCCCTGCCCACGGTAGGGGGTTGGAATTTGAGGATTCAGAAGGTCCCTTCCAAACAAACCCAGTCAATGACTGGCAATGGGTTTGTCCCATTGGTCTATTCCCAAAAACAACCGTCCCTGAGGTGGAACATGTGGCTCTGAAAAGAGGGAATGTGCAACATCCAGGAGAATCCTCCTGCCATTATCTTCATCTGCTCCTTCTGTCAAAGAACTGCTGGGGTTGGAGGATCCCAACCATAACAGCAGATTCCCCACAGAGCTTTCCAGCACTTTCCACAATCATGGAATMATTAAATGGTCTGGGTTGGAAGGGACCTTAAAAATAATCTCATTCCAATCCTCTGTCCCCCAGGGACACCTTCCACTATCCCAGTTTGCTTTACACTCCATCCAACCTGGCCTGTCACGCTTCCAGGGCTGGGGCAGCCAGGGAAACTTGTGCCAGGGCCTCGCTAACCTCATACGGAAGAACTTCTTCCCAATATCCCATCTAATCCCACCCATTTTCAGTTTCAGCCACTCCCCCATATCCTGTCACTCCATATCCTTGCAAAAATTCCCTCTCCATACTTCCTGTCAGCCCCTTCAGGCACTGGAAGGCTGCAGTTAGGTCACCCTGAAGCTTCTCTTCTCCAAGCTGAAGAAGTCCAACTCTCCCACCCTTTCCTCCTAGGAAAGGTGCTACATCCCTCTGATCCCAACCCAGAAGGGATTGGGCAAAGTCTGTGACACATGGACATCCTATTTTTTTGGTGGCCACATCAATGTAAACCACAGAAAGAGGTTGGAAGCAGGAGCAGCATYGCCACTGTCACTCATCCATCCCAACTCCTCCATGGCAAATCCTTCATCCCTTTCCTAGTGGAGCRAGGCTGTGAGGAGAGAGGAGAATTCCCCCTGGGATTTTTACGGTATGACCAACCTCAATGTCACCAGGAGCGACCGAAATTTAAGGCCAGCAAATMGCAGCCCTTGTGAGCTGCGCTCCCAGCAAAGCTGCGGGAGATAAGGAGGAGTGAAAAGGAGAATCAATAAATCTTAACCTCATTCACAATGATCTGGAGCTCTTATTAAGTAAATTAATTTAAGTTAATTTAACTCGATCATGACTCCCGATCACAGTGATTTAGTGAGGGGGAAATTGCATTAGGAAAGGCCACACTCACCAGATAGAAGAACGGAAGAAAATTAGATCCACTTAGCAATGTGAATTAATATGGAAATAGCAGGTGTAAATTTCACCTTATCAAGAGAGTGAAAATTATCTTCATAAATTTGGAGAAATAGGCCCCGAGCTGCTTATAAATCTATTTAAAACAAAAATATTACAAAAAGTGGACTAAAATTAATTTAAAATATTCTCCCACCTATCACCTCAAAGAGAAGTCAGCAGCAGGGCTGAGTTTAATGCAACCCAGCAAGAAGGGGAGGATGGAATTCATTCCCAAGGGATTGGCATCAGGTACCTCCAGCAACTGTCCCTGTCACTCATTTCCCAAAGCCACACCCCTCTTCATCTCAGTCTGGTGATTTGGGGGTTTATCAGCAAAAAGGACAATATGCCGGATGTCCCAGCAAAGCCAAACCCTGGCACATCAAATGCCAGATATCCAAAAACCTGGATTTCATGGAAGAAATTGCTCCTTAGTGCCAGCTGGAAATTAGTTTGGGAGTGGTATTGTCAACCACCAGCTGACATCCCACTGCTGGCTTAAGGGGAAGAGGGTATTAAAAATATCAAATTATTAAAAAATATTATAATTATTATAATAAAATATTACAGAAATATTAAAATTTATTGACTATTCAGTATGAAAGATAAAACTGAGGTGGCTAAAGGAGTGTCCCACCATCACCAAAGCTGCTCCTTGTTTTGCTAAGAGCAAAGAAAATCAGGGAAAAAGCAGCTTCTGGCCTGTTGCTTATTACAGATCCAAGATGATGATAGGAACGACAGAGCAAAAAATCCCGTAAAAACTCCAAGAGAAGCATTTGCCATGCGCTTCCCTCCAGACAGGCCCAATGATTGATCACCCCCAACAAAGGTAATTGGGAGACGGAGATTTATAGCTTCTTTAAAACATAATTGTTTTAATTTGCTGATGGCATTTTATCAAGATTTGTCTGAAGCAGCTGTAAGATCTGAACTACACCAATTTAATGAAGTCGGAGATTAATATGGAGAAAATKATCCTACAAGTGCGAGCTCTCAGCCAATCGCAGCAGAACGAGGTCGTTCCTCAAAAAATCACTGCTGGGTTGAACCAGAGCCACCACCCAGATCCCAGAGGCTCCTGCTCTGAATTCTAAGCCTGAAGGTTCTCCCCTCCTTGACTCTCACCATGGACCCTCTATCCATMAACTATCCAGGTCTGGAGTAACAAGGTGTGAGGGAAGAAGCTGAGCCCAACAGTCAGAGCACAAGTTGTTCTCTGTTAATTAAGGCKGAAGATCACAGAATCATGGAATGGTTTGAGTTGGGAGGGACCTTCAAGACCATCTTGTTCCAACCTCCTGCCATGGACAGGGACACCTTCCACTACCCCATGTTGCTCCAAGCTCCATCCAAGCTGGCTCTGGACACTTCCAGGGTGATGAGGCTCTGGCATAGGTCGCCTGAAGAAGCTGTGGCTGCCCCATCCCTGGAAGTGTCCAAGGCCAGGTTGGATGGGGCTTGGAGTGACGTGGAATAGTGGAAGGTGTCCCTGGCCRTGGCAGGAGGATGGAACTCATGGATCTTAAAGGTCCCTTACAACCCAACCATCCTGTGATTCCATGAAATTGCAGGGAGACAGAAGAAGATTCTGTGGTTTGTTTCTGGAAACAGAAATGTGGGAATTTGGTGTCAAGGATGTGAAAACAGTGGAGCAGTAATTGGAGGAGACAAACAAGAACAAAAGGAGACCTGTGGATCTCAGGGATGATGCCCAGGCAGGAAAACATCAAAGGCAAAAGTAGAATGTGAAGACAAAGGAGGAGGTGGCACAGGAAAGACTGRCCATGAGCCCAAAAGGATCCCGGGTTCCGTACTGGAAGAACTCTGAGATCAGTAGAACACAGAACATGAGGAGCTTGTCAGCCAAAAGCTTGGAAAACCAGACAACATGATTAACCCAACCTTTTTTTCCAACATCTCTGTTTATCCCATACTTTGCCTCATCACCCTGAAGTCTTCCAAAACCAACCCTCCCTTCCAATATTGATTTGTGAATCCCAAAATTCATATTTAAAGGGAAAAAACTGGCAAAGTCAGGCATTAAAAACAACCACCACGATTTTTGCCTCTCCACASCCCCACCACAAAAGCCATCAATCCTTAGGGCACTGCTGTGGAATGGCTTTTATGGAAACCACCTGGAGCAGAAAGAACATATCCRGAGAAGAGCAGAGCAGGCTCTCTTTGCCCAAACTACTATTTGTGATTCCCAGCATTTCAGGGGGAGGACAAGTTATTCCCAAYCTAAAAATAGCCAAAATCTGTATTTTCACCAAACCCATCACTTCTAATCGCACCTTGTTTCAAATAATCAATTATTTTAACAACTTTCCTGCTTCTACACAAGCTCCAGAGCTCGGTCCCTGAGATGTTACCTGGAAACATCTCTACCTCTATGAATTTGGGAATATTCCAGCTCAAGGGTACGGCACCTTCAGTGCCTCTCTCCTCCAGGCAGTGCCAAAATATTTCCTGATGCTCCACCTATCCAGAAAATTTGGAATAAGCGAGTCTGGGTTTGGAGTGTCAGTCTCAACACGCTCCTCTTCAGCACCAACACCATGTGCTTATTCATCCTCTTTTCAGCTTATTTAACTGCTCCATGGAAACAATTAATTCCAAGAGGGAATAAATGGGAAGCCACAGGCATAATCTGTTGGCACCAACGTGGGATAACACAATTCCTAATATGATTTTACACTTTAAGTCAATAAACTCTGTGTAGACCAAACAAATACAGAAATTAAACRGCGAAAACACAACGCAAGAACACAGAGACAAGGCGGGAGTTCCCGCTGCTTCCACATCCCAACCAGCTGCATTCCAGGGATGGAAAAATTACCTGGATGTCCCGGGGCGCCTGATCTTCCAGGCGGGAATGGGGCTGGTGAAGGATGGTAAGGCTGGAGACACCACATTCTTCTTCACAATCCTGTAGCGCGTCTTTATCACTTTGTTGGCTGGGGGGGTCTTCAAGAAGTGGAAGCTGGATCCTAGGAAAAAAACCACAGAAAAACAGGCTTGAAATTCAGGAGTGGATGGGACAGGAGGGATCTCACTGCCATTCTCACASAATAGTGGGRTTTTTAAGGTTGRAAAAAGACCTTTAGGATCATCAAGTTCAACAGTCATTGGTACCACATCCAACGTAAGTCCTACATYCAACTTCTTAGCACCTGGAAAAGGGGTGAAAAGTGTCAGGAATGGGACTGACATGGCTGACGGTAACAGAAAGATCCTGATGAGCTTGGGAGTGTTTGGCTTCATCAGCCCATCAGTAAAACACTACCACAGGAATCATGGATTCACCAACAACACCATGATCCCAACATCCACACTGGAAAGAAATGCATGCCTTTAATCCTTGGCATTTTCATCATGTTTTTCATCCCTGGAAGCGTGGAAGTCCGGGTTGGATGAAGCTGGGAGCAACCTGCGGCAGGGAACTGGATGAGCTTTCAGCTCCCTTCAATCCCAACCATTCCTGGATTCTCTGTGTTGCAGGATGATCTACATCCCGGGTTATTCCAC